AAAAAAAAAAAAAGATAGGCAAGATGAACTTACGAGCTACTTCTCCAAAGAGGAAATGCAAATGACCAACAGACCTATGAGAAAATATTCAACATCCCTCATAATCAGGGAAATGCAAATTAAACCACAAGGAGATACCATCTCACAACTAGCAACAACAAAATTTGGCAAGGAAGTGCTGAAAAAGGAACTCTCCTACACAGCTGGTGGGAATGCAAACTGGTCCAACCACTAAGGAAAACTGTGTGGTGGTTCCTAAGATTACTAAAAATGGAGCTACCATATGACCCAGCAATTCCACTCCTAGGGATCAACCTAAAAGACACATAAACATTAATTCAAAATTAATTTTTGTACCCCTGTGTTTAATGAAGCACTATTTTAATAGGTAAGATTGGGGAACAACTCAAGTGCCCAAAAATAGATGGCTGGGTCAAGATGATGTGGTGTGTGTATATATACATACATAGTGGAATACTATTTAGCAATCAAAAAGATAATGCCATTCACAGCAACATGGATGAAGCTAGACAGGATTATGCTCAGTGAAATAAGTCAGAAGGACAAAGAAAAATATAGCATGGTTCACTTATAGGAGGAATACAGGGGAATCAAATAAGGGATCAAATATCAAATTCAAATAATGTAAAAAATATCAATAAAAAACTAAACAAACAGGCAACTATAAATCAGAGACATTCTGCAGGAGAGAGAGGGGGTTCAAAACAAGGGCAGGAGGAGCACAAGGGGCTATGGTGATTGTGCATGAGTGAATTGGTGGTAGAAATTCTATGGGGACTAGACCTGAGAAAAGAAAGCAAACATTGTGCAAAAATGAACAATCATGTAACTATATTAAAATTATTTAATAAAAATAAAAATAAAAATTTCAAAACCCTGGGGGAAAAAAAGAAAAAATAAGTTTCTAATATTAAACCTCCTTACCACCTATCTTCAGAAGTCATCCACTGATCCCTGAGAAAAATAAAATACGGCAGGGTTGGAAAAGGACGCACTTAACCATTGCTGCATTCTGCTTATCCACAAGCAGGTGTGCAACAAAGCAACTGCACCAGGTTTTGACAATCCCAATGAATATTTACCTAATATTATTTAAGTTTTGATATTTTTATTTCTGTAATATACAAACAACTAGACAGATAGTATTCATCTAAAGAAATCCTGATAAATATTACTTTAAAAAAGGAATTATTTTATGAATTTAATAGCTAGAATGTAAGTGCTTGCAATGTTGGCAGGTGCTATGGTTAAGTATATTAGGTATTTTAATGCCAATAATCCCATGAAGATAGATGGAAATTATATCTTAAAGCAAGAGAAAGTTTTTGATGATGTCTTTTTAAAGAACTTTATTAAAATGTGTCTCACAAATCTGGAAAAGCTTATTTACCAGGATTTTTACAACACAAGTGAAAAACACCAAATAGATTTTGGCACTATAAATTCAATAAACTCCAGAACTGCTAGTTCCAATTTAAAACTGCACTCAGTACTCAGTACTCAGAAAAACTCAGTACTCAGAAGTTTCAGGCAAAAAATCAGGTCACTTGTAAAATGACACATAACAGTACTGAGATGATCTCTTAAATTTATCCATTGTTCCCACATATACACTAACATAACTCATCAAACTTAAATCTTCCCTTTCTATGAGGAGATTAGATTAAATATGACATATGAGACTACCTACTTTTTATTAAATAAAATTGCTAGAACTAAGCAGTGTGGAACACAAATGTTATTAACTAAAAACCATTATCTCATGTGGCTTCAAAATACTCAAGTTTTTCAAAGGTTTTTATAGAAACAGGCTAACACATAGCCTGTTTATCTTTTATGAAAGAAATGTACGAACTGTACCCTTTATTATACCCCTGCAAATAGGGCATTTTCTTAGAGAAGGGGCACATTCCTGACAGACTACCAGATGACCACAAGGAATGAACACAATAGATACTTCTTTGTCCATACACACTTTACAAGTTCTTTCTTCTTGCAACCTCCTCAACTGTTCCTCCAGTGACAGACCTAGAAACAATAAAACAAAAACTCTATGAAATTCAGTTTCTACTTTACCTCTCATTAAAAAAAAAATAAAAACACATGTTGCTTTTAAATCTTAATTTTATTGTACCTGAAACATCTTCTGTTGGAACATACTTCATGTTCTTTTCCACTAAGGGAAGAAAAACAAAGAACATCGTTCTACTCAAATACAAGACTATTTTATTTATAGACTATAGCTTGTCAACTGGATTTGTTAAATATAACAAAACACTTAATCCCCAGGATTTCCCAAGTAATCCTACAAAAAACTCACCAAATAAGTTCTTATATAATGTAGAGTCAATTTCTTTTAAACAGTGTTTGAAGATATTGGCTGCTGCATTTCCTTTAACTAAAACTGTATCAATCAGTTCTCTTGCTTGTAAAGGTATCTGTGTTTTTTGTTTAATAATATCATGTTCCTGTTTATTAATTACATTGGCTTTTAAGAGGTGATCCAAAATAGGCAGCACACAAGTCAGCTGCTGGAAGAGTGCCATTCTATTCCTCCGAATTAGTGACAAATCATCTTTGTTTAAAAAAAAAAGAGAGAGAGAATATCCATTAGATTTTAAGCTGCTCCAAGTATAGTCATTAGCAATCCTACTAACAATTTAGGTACTAAATATATGAGCTAAAAAAAGTGGGGTAAGATTAGTTCTTTGCACTTTGATGGCTATTGTTTGAAATATTCTGAGATTACTTAAGCTAAAGCATATTAGTAGTACACATGGCTAGCTATTCATGTCACTTTTTAAAATCTATTACATATCTCAGGACCAGGCTTTTCCTTTGTTTTGTTGACGTAAAGCAGAGTATATTAGAAAACAGTAAAAACTTCCACCTCTGTGTTATGGTAATAGCACTGAGTTCTTTTTTTAAATTTTATTTAACTTATTTCTACATCATTCTTTATTTTGTGCTTTCCGTCTCGGTTGTAATCCCCAGGGACTTTCCACCACTGACTTTTTTTTTTAAGATTTATTTTTATTTATTTATGCACACAAGAACTGGAGTGTAGGTCAGAGGTGTGCAGGACGAGAAGATTCACCAAAGAAGAGCGGGGAGCAGCAGATGACAAAGGAGAGGTCTGCTGCACCATGTGGGTCAGCTTCCTGGACTGGAATGGAACTTGTGCTGCAGTGGCTGACGACAATTTGACGGTGTGGAGACTTTAACTCCTTTGCCACCAGGGAGTTTTTTTTGTATCAAGTCACTTTACTTTTACAGCACAGTCTCATTTGATACAAAAGTCCTGTCAATTGAACAAGGCAGGTATGATTGCTCCTTGTTTTTCAGATAAGGAGAAAAAGACTTAGAACAGAGTATCTTGTCCAAGGTCAGACAGACTGAGTTGCAAAGTCTGGGCTCCAGGACCAGTGTTTTTCTGCATGCCATGCTGAGGCAGCAGCAATGGGGTAAAGAGTTTGAACTTTCCAGTCAGAACAGACCAAGATCCCACACTGGTCTCATCCCCTTACTATTTATGTACCTCATCTCCATCCACCTTAGCTTCCTCATCTATAAAATACAAAGAATAGGGGACCCTTCCTGGTGGCTTAACTGGTTAAAACAGAGCACTATGAAGCTATCTGCAGTCACTACAGCAGGACTTCGATTCCTGGCCAGGAAGGTGACCTACATGGTGTGGCAGACCTCTCTTGCCCCGCCCACTGCTCCCCTCAGCAGTGTAGTTCAGTAGATCTGCCTGTTCTACTCCCTACTCTGTCTCTGGTGAATTCTCTCACCACCACCCCCCCACACACACCTCTGGCCTATACCCCAGTTCTGGTAAGCATAAATAAACTTTTAGATAAAATGCAGAGAATAGTACTTTCCTCAAAGAGCTGTGAGGGTTAAATGACATAGTATATATAAAGTATCTATATCAGTATCTGGCACATAGTTAAGCACTATTATTTTATAGGTTTATACCAACTGCATATGAATCAAGCTTTTTTTTTTTTTTTTTATGTATACAGAACTGGGGTACAGGCCAGAGGTGCAGGGAAGGTGAGAGGATTCACCAGAGACAGAGCGGGAAGCAGAACAGGCAGATCCATGAAGTACACTGCTGAGGGGAACAGAGGGAGGGTCAGGAGAGGTCTGCCACACCATGTAGTCACCTCCGGGGCAGGCGGGGATCGAACTCATGCGGAAGTGGCTTTAGCTTCTTAGTGCAGTGCTTTAACCCACTGCGCCACCAGGGAGGGCCTCAAGCCTTTTTTTTAAGCAACATTTTTTTCCTTTAACCCCAAATCACAAAAAAAAAAAAAAAGTTGAATTCCAAGGTATTTTTCAGAATGAGTCTTCTTTTGATGTCCCAATCATAATATTTAACTGCCTGTTTCCAGCCTTAAGACATCCCTACATTATGAATTTAATGAGAAGTAACTCATAATACCAGAAGTCTATTTTCCAGAAGTGAACCATCCTATTCATTTCAAATTCTTACCTCTGACCACAAATTCTCCATTAATAATTTACCTCAATGCTGGTAAATCTGTTCTTCACTTTTATCTTTAAGATATCTGCATCAATCCTAATTCAACCAGCACAAGAACTGTCCCTGGCTGCTCATTTCCCATTTTAGTCTGGATCCCAGGCAGTATTTTAATGATTTCCTCTACAACACCCTAAGCTTTTCCTCCCTATTCCTTACTGACCTTTTGTTGATTTTTCTATAATTTCAAATGTACATTATTATTCTCTGAGTGTCTGTCACCAAGTCACCAAATTATGGTGACTAGATTTATGATAGTCACCATAATTATAATTATAATTATATCTGTCCTCTAAACAATCCTGCTCACTCTTCCTCATGGTCTTTCTTTCACTAAACCCCATCCACCCACTTCCCAAATCCATATACTTCTGATGTGTTAGGCACTGCACTAAATTGTTTTATTTGCAACATCTCATTTAACTTCTATAGCAACTGCATGCAAGTCATACTATTATTATCCCCATTTTATAGATAAGAAAGCTGAATTCTGGTTTAAAAAAAATTGACAAGCTAGTAACTGACAAAGCCAGTATTTAAACATAAATCTGTTTTAAATCAGACTTTATACATTGTACTATATGGCTACAGACTACTATATAGTGTCTTAGTTTAAGGTTCTCTTAAACTATCTCTATCCTTCTAAGCTTAAGCAGAGAAAATATTTTCCAACCCCAATACCCTAATTTACACTTTAAGTGCAATCTTAACCTCTGAGGGCTCTTCTATGCTTCCTGTTGCACACTAGTGTGCATACCTGCTTCACTAGCACCTTGAGAGTAAACACCATAGGAGTGACACAGGTGCTCATGTTCAATACACATGTGTTGAAGGAATGATGATTCCAGGGCCACTTGCTAGGAGTCTGAGACATAACGTGTAGATGGATGCCAATCAGTTTCCTACTATCCTTGGGTTGGTCAGTGGCTTATCATCAAGTACTAGAGTTTCACAATAAATTCCAATGTTTGCATAAGGATCACTTAGTAAGAATTAGGGAATCCAGCCCTACCTTAAAAATATTTGGAGAAAAGTTGTAATCAGTGGCTATCAAGGAGGTGTCTACACTACCATGGTGGAGGGGAATAGGCTTGGGAGTGACTGGTGATGCCCTTGGCACTTGGTGGCGAGGTAAGGATGCTAACTGGGCTACAGAGAGAGACACATCTATTATAAGGTGATCAATTCCCCAAAATACCTGATGCCCTCTCTTCTGTTTGTCTTTCCTTCTCCTCTTCTCTTTTTTCATCTTCAGCATTAAGAAGGGCTGACACAATATCATTAACTGTTTTATAATTCTCTCCAGTTGACAAGATTTTACTCTGAACTGTCTGCTTTACCAGACTTCTACTGAAGCCCATTTCCAGCGCGGCTTTAACCATGGGTGTGTTCATCATGACTGTATCTTCTTTGTGGTTCTCACTGGGTCCAAAATGGATAACTATTTGAAAAGACATGTACAATATTAAATTCCAAAAATATGCAAACACCTGTACAAAAGAAGTGACTATAACACAGTCTCTAGCCCTCATGCTGGTATATTATGTTGACAGAGATGAGCCATAACACCAATCACAAAAGTTTGAACTTAATAAGGATCCAATGAGAATATAACAATATTTACTTTTTAAAAATACCATGTCCCACTGACCAACACTTAAAAAAGAGATTCATATGTTAGTCCATATGGCTTCATGAAGAAAAAAAAAAAAAAAACCCTTCAAGACTCTTTACTGCCATCTGCTGGAAAGCAAATGTACACTGGCTACAAAGTGTATCAGGTTTCCCTGATCAAACATATTCAGGAAGGAAGATTTGAATGATGGGAACCCTGCAAGGAAGATTTGAATGATAGGAAAGCATAAGAGGGAAGTTTTTATTTTATTCTGATTTTTCTACAATAACCACTGCAGATCCATTAACAATACTGTAACAGAGTTAATTCTATCAGCCAGGGGAACTGAGGAAACTAGTAAGTGAAGAGGTATTTGCTCCTTCAAATGCACAGACACCAGTTATCAAAACTACAGTTATCAGGCAGATATGACATCAGGCAGATATGACACCATCAAAGGAAACTAACACTATAATAGGCACCAACCCCAAAGAGAGAGAGAGCTACAAATTCCCTAATGACAATCTGAAAGTAATCATCTTAAAAGAAACTCAATGAAATTTCAAGAGAAAAATAGGACAACCTGGGAAAACAATGTAGAAACAAATGTAGAAATCCAATTTTTTTTAAAAAAGATAATTTTTTTCAAAGAACCAAACAGAAGACCTAAAGTTAAATATGACAGAACTAAGAAATTCCACAGAGTTTCAATAACAGAATAATTAATGAACTCAAAGGTCATTTTAAGTTAGCCAGTGAGAGAAAATAAAGAATGAAAGAGAGTGAAGCAAGCATGAATTATGGGGCACTAGCAAAAGAAAGGACATTTTGGTTTTTCATCAAACAAAAAAGCAAGGAATAGTGTTGATGAGGCTACAGAGAAAAGGGAACTATTCTACATTGTTAGTGCAAATGTAAACTGGTGCAGCCACTGCAAAAATCAGCATGGAGATTTTTCTTTTCCAAACAGAACACAGTAATAAGTAACAGAAAGAAAACTGAAAACAATCACAAATATGGGGCAGTTACACAATGCATTTCTAAATAACCTCAGGATCAAAAAAGAAATCAAAAGGAATAAAAAATACTTAAGAAGGGAAAACGAAAACACAATGTAACAAACTCAGGATAAAGCAACAGCACTTGTAAAAGGGAAGTTTATGGTGATAAATACCTGTATAAAGAAAAAAGGAAGGTTTCAAGTAAGCAGCTCAACTTGAGAAAGAACAAACTATGACCAAAGTTAGTAGATGCAAGAAAATAAAATTAAGGCAGAAATAAATGACTTAAGACAACAACCAAAAAAAAAAAAATCAATGAAAGTAATACTAATCTTTTGAAATGACAAATCTGACACAACTTTAACAAGATTGACCAAAAAAAAACACAACACAATTATATCTAAAAAAGGAAAAATTATAAATAACACAGTAGAAATGCAAAGAATGGAGACCAATTATACGCTAGCAAACTCGATAATCTAGAAGAAATGGATAGATTTATAGAAACATACAACCTACCAAGACTGAATCACAAACAGAAAATCAGAACAGATGAGTAAGATGACAAGCAGTTATCAAAAACCTCCAAAGAAAAGTCAAGAACTAGATGATTTCACTGGTGAATTCTACCATTTTTTTCAAGATTTATTTATTCATACATAACTGGGATACAGGCCAGAGATGCGTAGGGTGAGAGAATTCACCAGACAGAGTTGGGAGCAGAGCAGGCAGATCTACTAAGTACACCGCTGAGGGGAGTGGTGGGCGGGTCAGAAGAGGTCTGCTGCTCCATGTGGATCTCCTCCTGGGCAGGCTGGGATGGAACTCATGCGGAAGTGGCTTAAGCTTCTTCTGCAGTGCATTAACCCGCTGCGCCACCAGGGAGAGCCGAATTCTACCAATTTAAAGAATTACTATCAATATTCCTCAAACTCTCCCAAATTACTGAAAAGATAACAAATTCAAACTCATTTTACAAAGTTAGCATTCCCATAATAATAAAGTCAAATAAGGACAGTATTAGATAAATTTAGGCCAACTCCACAAAGCATCAGCAAACTGAATTGAACATTAAAAGGATCAATCAGGGGCCCTCCCAGGTGGCGCAGCGGGTTAAAGCACTGCACTAAGAAACTAAAGCCACTTATGCATGAGTTCGATTCCTGCCTGCCCCGGAGGCGACCACATGGCGAGGCAGACCTCTCCTGACCCGCCCGCTGCTCCCCTCAGCAGTGTACTCGATCTGCCTGTTCTGCTTCCCG